TCAGGACCAAATCTATCCCTTGTTCTCTTTCACATATTCCATTCACTTTCACAGACTTAAGTCTAAATTTTCAACCTTTCAAATCAGTTTCAGAAGTCAGAATGTATAGTATCATGGGAGCGTATAAAATATAAGGTTGTTTTGTTGACAGAGAAGATTATGCATTTGGCAAAAGGGAAGCTACTTCAAAAGCTGTTTCAGCTCTTCCATAAAAAACACCCATTAGCTGAAAGCATTTGAAGTAAAATGCAAGGTATCTGTAACCAAAGGAGCTGTAATATTTAGCACCAGCAAGGGCGAAAGGTCACGTTTCAATATTACAGGCTCTTTCCCACCAGCTCCTTTCAAATCAGCTGCATTGCTAAAGCAACGAAGCACTTTGTACTGATTTACTGCACACCAAGTGTGTAAAGGCTGTAACTTCTGATCCACTTGAAGAGAACTAGGGAAAAGGGGGAGGCGGCTGGAAGATAACTCACATCATGAATCAGCAACAAACTGCGGTTGTATTTTCTAATTATGCCATGCCTAACACAAACTCAGTCAAATTAGAGGGGTTTGTTTTTTAAGTCGGTGGATTGGTAGAAATTTTCATGCATAAACTAGGGCCCATGCTAGGACTTTTATAGGTAGTAGGGTTGGTTTGCGGGGTTTTGTTTTGGTTTGGTGGGGGTTTTAATTTTTTTATTGGAGGGGTGTCTTTGGAGGTATGGGAAAGGAATAGGGTTAAGAGTTCACAAATCTTCTGCAGAACAAGTTTAGTGTCAAGACAAAACAACGCTATTTATTGCATAGGGTTAGCTGATCTTATCAGAATAAATTCATTAAAAACACCGAGTCCTGCTTCTACCTCAAATTACCTATGAAACAACTGTCATGGGACTATCACAGTATTTGCCCATTTTTACCTCTACATACTAATTTTCTTTCACAGGCTTTTTCATCTGTACTTTAACTAAGAGCATTACCGTTTGTCCTAATGTGTCAAGACGCCCAAATTCCATGCCATGCCTCAAACCCTAATATATCTGTCAAAATACAAAATTAGTGACTCTAACATTGATGGACATAGTAATACACTGAGATTTATAGCTCTCCGTTTGCTCATCCCTCCAACACTGTCAGTATGGGAATACATGAAAATGTTTACTTTTACTGCCATCCCCTCATCCAAAATATCTATGGTAAAATACTATTGGAGCTGCTGTTCAGTTTCACAGCTATGGCTGAGCTGAAGTATATACCTGAAAGCAATTCAACCACTTTGCTGCATACAACAAATACAGTATATCATCACCAGAATGACAAGATTTATTCTTCAAACATAAGCCCTCTGTGAATTTAAATCTGCTGGGGTTTTTAGTGAATAAAAATTAGTATTAAATCGGTCCTTTAATACAATAACTTTACAACACTGTTTCAACAATTTAATATGAACAATTTAATATGAACAACTTCATATCACTGTTTCTTTGAACAATTTTAATAGTGAAAACCCTCTTAGAGTTAGATTTCATTGATATTTCAAGAGACTAGTTACTTTTCACAAATTTTGCTTAAGATTAATAGTCATTTTACTGTCACAGCCAACCATTCTATTTGAGGCCGGCCTGACAAATACCATTCTGCTCCAGCAAAGACAAAGCGGCACTGCCACCTTTCAAAATGGCTGTTGCTCCTTCATCCTCTCTTCAGTAGTACAGAGGACAACCACTGTCTTTGAACCAAAACAGTTCACTCTTGCTGATGGCGAAACATATTGTCCTCTGTGAGTGCACACTCATTAAGTTTTATGAATTTTCTCCACAGAAAATTTAAGGCCTCACTCTCTGCTGACATCTAAGCTTTCAGCCATGAAACAACACAGAACAACAAAATAGTAACTCTTCCTGGGCAGTCCTCTTAAATACGCTACTCAGGCACATGACTTTAACACTGAGCTTCCCTCTCTGGTTTAATACATGATTAGAACATTATCTATTCTGAACTGCCTCTGTCTATTTTGAATACCAACTGAACAGTAAATGCCTTTTTCTTTTTTTCTGGTTATAGTAAAAACCTGTTCTTGATGCAGCTCTTCAAATCGCAGTACTATTCTGGAAAGTACCTATAAAAATGTAGACTATATCTACATCTAATCACAAAGATGTGACTGCAGTTCATATCACTGTACCTGAGTTACTGTTAGATTAGCTAGCTGGGGCTCAGCAATAGAATAGAGCCAGCGAGTTAAATTGAATTTGCAGAGCAATTTACTGGGAGCAGGGGAAAGTTCATTAAGCAAACTGAGCTAACTGGATTGGCAGTGACTGAAAGAAACATAAAAACCCACATAGCCACATCTATAAATTTATTTCTGGAGAGCAAGACATCTCAGAGACTTCAGATTTGAAAGAGTGCATTTACAAAATGAAACCATCACAACCATGGTTACATTACTAAGATGGATGTAATTGGATTTATGAGACATTTTGGTTCACATGCACACAGTGAGCTCCAAAACAAGACAGACAGCCCATTTCCCCTCACTTTCTGACTATTAATTGGTTTTTAATATATTTTTAGCACACCCCGGGGAACAATTCTAAACTAATTATAACTTTCATGTGAACATTTGTATGAATTTCTTTCTTACTGTAGTCCAAGGGAGCTGAAAGTAACGAAGCATCTTATAAGTAGCATCATTGTTTGTCCAGCTCATAGGTTTATGATTTTAGCTTACCTTCTCTGTGCAACACTTGCCATTCCCCAGCAATCCAAGACTTCCTGGATGCATAGAGGATAGTATATCGTGTAACAACTGTTTCAGGACCATCAGGTGGCTTCCAGGAAACCAAAGCAGTATCATCCTCTATCAAAGTCACCTTCACTCCTACTGGAGGGCCAGATGGTGCTGTGAGAACAGTAACACAATGCTATTAGGCTAACCTAATTTACATGCAATTAAATTGCTCAGAAAAAACTGATGCACAGACCTAATGGCTACTGCTACATCCCAGATAAACAACATATAAGCAAACACATTCCACTCCTCAAGAGAAACTCTCCTGTTAACTCGGATCTGGTCAATAGCTTAGATTTTGTAAAAGTAAATTTCATATTTTTCCTACAACTCCAGAAGGAAACAGTTCCTGACAAAAACCCACACCATTACCCTGTGAACAGGTACATCCCAAACATCACAATGCTGAGAACATGAAACTGAACTTTTTGATTTTCACTGACCAAGCTGACAGAAAAGCAAACCAGCAGCTAGGGCAGTAGATGTGTAATAGTCTTAAAGTTTCTAAAAATTTTGTTTTTTAAAATATGTTTTCATAGTGCCTATGAATCAGCCATGTCTCTTCAGTACATATTTTAAATTTTTTTATTCAAGTTATTTCCATTCAGTGGTTGATAAAGGTGTAAGTATATCACATTTTATATACAAATCAATGCTGATTTTAGGTAGAGTTTGAAAATAAATTCCACAGTTCCAAAACAAGGATTTCCCTGACAGCATTTTTCAACCTCTCACCAAGAGCAGTATCTGTATCTCAGAAGAAAGTATTTCTCTCTCCTACAGACAGCTTAAAATTAATAAGCAATTTTTCAGGCCATTTGGTTTACAGAGCTTTCTTTGTAGAACCAGGTGGTCCTCTCCTAGTGCCTTACCTTCTGGAAGGGTGGTATGGTAGACTACTGGGCTCCAGGGACTGGAGAGTTGGTCCACATGCAGCCGAACTGCAAATTCATACATGGTTTTTGGCTCAAGACCTTGAACTAACATGTGAGTCTCTGACCTGTACAGACAAAGGAATAACATAAATTTAACAGCAGCAGTTGACTTGAAGATCCCAAGCTCAAATGGTTGCTCTTAGTCACTGTGACTAGATTTTGACTGTCAGTTCAAGTCCAGACATATGGTCCATCTGTGCTGTCTACCTGAAAATGTAATTGTACTAATGCTGGAGCTCTCCAGAAGATAATTAGATCTGCTGTCAGTTGACTTGAGCTCAAGTTTTTATAAAGGTTGTTTGGACAGTTGATGCACAAGCAAGTCCAAGAATATTATTGCCCAGATCACCAGTAGGTATCCCAAACTCAGCTCTTTACACATTTGTCCATAGGACACTATGCTTCAAGCTCGAGTAACACTTAAACTACAACTAGCACCAAGCTGAAAAGGCACCTGCTGTTGGCTCCATCAGCTAATCCTGGATCTGCTTCTCAGTTCACAGAACAGACATAGGCTATATGTGCAACCTCCCCTTCCTCTTGTGGCTTCTATCACCTCACGTTTAGGGGATCTCTGTAGAATATAAATGTTCCCTACTCATCTTGTAGTCATATATGGTAATTTATTAATTGTAAAATTGATTATATTAATAGCAATATTGCAGTTTACTATTTGATCACAAAGTCAATTGTAGACATTCTGCTTTATTTTGATTCTGGGGGCAGGGGGAGATCTTTCATATACACCAGTTAGTTCTGGGTGATAATACCCAACTAGAGATTAAATCTCAATTTAAAATGGTGTTACTCTACAGATACTGCTTTATTAAATCTCATTTAGTATTTTCATCTTCCACACTGCAAAGGCAGTCACCAATACTTGCAACAGTCTCATCCTATCACAAAAAGCAGCTATGCTCCATATTGCACACTAAGAATTTTACATGGTGATTATACTGTGTCTAATCATTAAGTCAGGAGTTATACAGCAGGGGATGTGCTCTTTGAAGAGAAAACCATCAGTATTAGGATAGAAACTATTTATTAAGACAGCATTTTTCTTATTTAGAAGGCTTGAGTAAACCCCAAGTATTGAGGGAGCTACAGACACATGGATTCCCTCAACAGCACTGTGACCCCCCAGCATAGGCAGTCACAATGCAGCAAAGTCTTCTGCTCCCACACCACCTGGGCAGAGCCCTGAACACCAAGCCTAGGCAGAATTTCTTCCCTGTTCTGCCATTCTGTAGCTCATTCATTGCTTCTCTGAAAAGCAAGCTGTAGTTCCTACTCAGCTTTCTCCTGGCAGGAACGTGGCATTCCCACAATAACATTCTCAACCCCTCAAGAGTCAAAAATTCTTGTTTCCAGTCTTAAAATCAGACACTGGACTAAGTGCCATCTTTGCCCAGACAAGCTACCTACAAAACAGTTATTCTCTTTTGTTTGGTTGGAGAAGAGCTTAAAATTAAGTTCAACTTAGACAGCTAAAAAGTCATTAAAAATTCAAGAGCTCATCCAGGGATCCAACACAAGAATCACAGGTAGAGAATTAAGCTGTTCTACGAACAAATCTTAAATAACCCAAGAAACAGAACTAGTCACCACTGGGCAAAACACACAGTCCTCTAAGGGAGATAAAAATTGTTATGGTAAAAGGCAATTAAGAGAGGGCAGGAAGAATATAAACTAAGTGGGAAGGATCCGGAAATGGGAAACCAAGACTCAGTAGTAGCACTGCACTTACGTTTGAAGGTAGAGAACCAGAGAAGCATTCTGAAGCCCCACTGGGTTGCAGCGGATTGTGTAGTTAATGACTTGTGCAGATGTAAAGGCAGGCTTTCCCCAGTGAAGGTAGATAGAAGATGAAGTATTAGCTTTAGCATAGAGGTGGTGAGGAGGTGGTGGTGGTGGCACCATACGATCACGAACAGCTGTTTAGAAAAAAAAAAGGAGCATAAGTTATTTAATGAACTGTATACAGATACGGGTAAGATTAAGAGACAGGCCTGAGCTCACAGGTTTACACTCAACTCTGCCTCTACCCAGCACTACCTGGTATTCAGACCCAGGAATCTGGTTCAAGCTATTAAAGATCCCTCCTAACCCAATACACGTCACATATTACTTCTGTAGTCCCACTTGTTCAGCAAAAACAAAGTCAAAACTATAAACAGAGATAAGGGAGAGAGAGAAATCTCTCATAAAATACATGATACATCACTGGTTAGATGATGCAGACAATCCCATAGTGGAGGAAAATGTGCTTGGTAGCTATCTTGTTTCCTCAGCTACAGTTCATGAACACAGGAGACTGTCTCAGTTGCAGGATGACTAGGATAGTATTTGTCACAGATACGATCTTTCTCGTTCTCTGTTTTACACTGAATTAATTGATTATTTATAGGTTAAAAACACAGAGCTGCTGGGACCTTGAAACAGCTCAGCTCTTAATAAATTCTTCATGCACCTACACCACTTACACACACATCCTGGAGTGCTGACTGTTTGGTCGGCCTGATAACCTTCTTCCATACTGTTATATGCCAGCAGCCTTACATGATACTTTCTTCTAGGATCTGCACAAAGAGAAAAGGAAATTTTCAGTCTTCTACAGGTAGTGAGATAACTTCATTCTCCTCCAAGTTTGGTTCAAAACTTGTCAGGCTGGACGCCTGGATGTCTTTTCTCCAGCTCTGTAAATTTCCCTGAATCTTTGCTCAGACTGCACTAGAATCAGTCACATATCTCCCAGTCTTGCTCCCAATAGCCTGAAACCAAAGCTTGAAGGGTCTCCCCATTTCCACTTCTCTGGCCATGTCTTTGGATACCCATATTGCAGTTTTCTGCTTCTCTCAGTTCTGTTAGAGATACACTGGCCTGGATTCAAGTGAAAAATTATTACAGAAAAATGAGTTAGGAAGGGGCCTTGGAGCTTTCTGTAAGCGGAGATGGCACAGGGTACCCACAGGTGGTTAGGAGTGCCAACCACCAGGATGGCTGCACTGCTTCTCTGCCACGTACTCCCTTGCGATGGTACTTGCAACAAATCCTTTCCATACAATGATGATTCACAAGGTGGTAGTGCTTCCTACTAGTACATATGAGCTCTTCTGGGTTCAGCTAAACTTCACCCCAGTACCGATGTAGATATTTGAACATTTCTCTCTTCTGTTGTCATGAACCTATTTCTTTCTATTACGATTTCCAGAAGGTCTAGACAGATGTTATATAATTGTGCTGATCTTGTTTATTTCTTTTTTCCTTGCCCTAAAACACTGTAATATTATCCCTCCTCAAAATAAGCTCTCCTCTTTCTCCTTTTACCTGAGATTTGACATGGCCTCTCTCATTAAATAAACACGAACACAGATCCCTGACTTTTCTTCACCACAAATAGGACTTTTGTTTACATCAGATCATCAGCTCCCTCTGCAGTCTCTGCACCAGCAATACAATCTTAACAACTCGATTTGTTGTTTCCATACAGACAGCACAGTAATTTCATACCAATGCATTTTGTAAAATCTTTTCATGTTTATCTTGAAATAGACAACCTTTTTGAGCTGTAGTTACCCACCTCAGCTTTAGATGAGATTATCACTAGGTAGAGTTTACATTTCTATGTATGTTTATTTTTTAAAGACTATTTTACCAAAATCTAAATATAGGTATAAAGGAAAAGGGGCTCTTAAACTTGGATTAAAGTATTTCTTTGATGTGTTTAACTCTAATGGTAGAATAGGCAAGAGGAGCCCACTCCCATTTTTCAAACAGACTTTCACATCACAAATAGACAATAACAAAATGCCAAAAAATTAGGGTGGTTTTTTTTTTTAAATCAGAGTAAAATTCTCATTTGCTTTGAAGGTTTTTTCAGTTTACAATATGACTCTAACAACAGACAATGTCAGTTGTTCCTGGCCAACAAATCACAGTCAGAGAAAAGTGGGAAATAGACACAAATACCCAGGTTAACCTTAGGCATGTGATAAAAGAAAATACGGAATTTTAATATTAAAAATTCAGAAAGATAGTAAGATATTATATATAAATCATTGCAATCTCTTAAAAATTTGTAAAAAACAGAAGACATGAGGGGAAGGTGCATTTAAAAACACTGAGCCCAACCAAAAAGATAACTGCACTTCAAAAGTACCAAGTGATTTGAATACACTAAAATCAAGTTGTGGTGACTTATTTAGGCTAACTGCAGCATGCTTCTCAGAAAAGGAGAAATATATACCTTCCCAGGCTTCTTAACCTGTGGTAGGAATACATATATTTAGTGCATAACTGAAATACTCAAAAACTAAGCCAAAAATTAAAAAAAAGAGGCCATCAAGACCTCTTTAAGATCTCATTAGGGTTTTGTTTTGGAGGTTGTTATAATAATCGATTCTCCCATCCATTCTTAGAATAAACTTAAATTCGGGTACTATTTAGCAGACCCTTGAACAGATTCCACATAAAAAGGCGGCATCCAACCAGCCAAGTGTCACAGTCTATCTTTTTCTTTACAAATTCCTGCAGAAGAGACCCCTGCTGCATTTCCGCAAGACACAGGATGACAGACACGACAATTTATCATCCTGCTGAGCACCTTCAAAAACTGTGTGCCCTTTGAAAGTGGTCACCCAGAACTGATCATCTTCACTGTGAAATGAAGAATAGCTAAGGTCTAGTGCCCTGCTGAGCTGAATGAGGAGCCTGTGAGGTCTGTTTATCCTCATAGCTGTTTGGGTTTTTGTGGATTTTTTTGGTTGTTGGTTTTTTTTAAACCTGAATTCCTCATTAACACTTGATTGGGGAGGAGAGGAAGAAACATGGGATGTGGAAGAAAGGCAAAAATGTAACTCCCACAAAAAAATTCAAATGTCTTTGAGAAAAACACATTTTTTTAATCTTATTTTTAAGTGTCTTTAATGGTCTACATTTAGAAAAAGCAAAATGTGAAATACCATTCATCTTACTCTTGTGTAATGCAAGAAGTTGCAAAAAGAATTATCTTTATATAGAAGAATCTGTTTAGAAGTGAAGTCTCTCAATTAGTCTCTACCACCTAAAAAACAAGGTTATTTCCACTTCAGGAGATTGTGGTTCAATACATAACTGATAGCCAAAGACCTGCCTCCAGTTCTAACAGATACTTGCATGCTGTTTGTTTTATGAAGTGGTAGAAAATATTTTTTTTGTCTGAAGTAGCCTCTGTTTAGAATATTTTTAACAATTGTTAGTTTCATGTACAGGCTTATGATATGATTTACTCCTCAATGGCAATTCCAGTACAGACTTGGCATAAACACTTTCATCTGTTCATCAGCTGGATCAAACATTCAAAGCCAGACATATCTTTAGAGAGAAAACAAACTTCAGGAGCTTTCTTATCTTTAACCAGCATAGGTATCCTGAATAGTTTACACATAAATCATTGATAAAAGATTGGGAATAGCATAGCCACCTGGGGGGCCGACAGTCTCAAATTTAGCTTATGCACATTATACAGCAACAGGAGGTTTGAGAGGCTCAGAAAACAGGGAAGCGAGTACTGAGGCCATCAGTCATGCTCATAACAGACCCAGGAGTAACACATCTTTCCACAGAAGATCACTGCTATTCAGAAACAAATTAGGTGCAGTGATTTACTCAACCCATTCAACACATAAATTCAGTTTAAGTAAAAAAAAAAAAACAAAAAACAAAAAAAACCAAAAACCCACCACCAAAACCCAAACCTTACATCAAGATTTCACCTCTGCATTTTCAAAATTTCTCTGAACAGCTATTAACACTGAGTCATTTCAATTAATCCTCTTGCAATTGCCAGCATTTGTGCAGTGGTTGAAGGCTTGTTCCCAGACCTAAGGTGAACAGGAACAATTTTGTAGCCTATTTAATAACTGGCTGAATTTTTTAAGTTAATTTGTTTCTATTGAATGTGGTTTGTTTTGGGTTGGGTTTTTTACTGCTGCTGGCATTAGGCTGTTGTAAAATTAAGTGTCACAGCACCTAAAGCTTTTTAATAGGCATTTTTATTGTTATTACTTAAATCAGCTGGTAGAAAGGATGCAAAAACTACACTGTACAAATCAAGAGGCCAGCACTGATGTTGATATAAACATGCTAGAACTAATTCATACATTTTATTACAAGAGTGCCTCTGGAGTACACAGAGACTGTCTTAAAACACAACATAGGCTGGCTGTGAGGAGCTGGCATAGCTTCACACAGTACAATGGATCTGCCTCACACATCCTTCTTATATAACCAAAACCTGTCAGTATTAAAACCACATGAATAAGAGCTCAAGCAGAGGCACAAATTTTGCCTCTGGTAATAATACCCCAATAAATAAATAAAAGTAGGTAAAAGCTAAATATGCCTTACTGTTGGTTAATTTCAAATTATCAAAAATCACTGTTACACAATTTATGTAGGATCAGCCTCATTTTCGTATAGCAGTTTTTGTAGGTGTGTCAGTGCTCCCTGGTGATACACCTCTGGAATCCCATATCCTGTCATTCACTCCCCCATAAAATTCTACAGCGAGCCCTGCAGATCCAACCCTGATAGGTCTTTCAGCAGCAAGGCACAGGGTAGCCTTCTCTTTGTTTTGCGAGTCTAAGAACAGGTTCTACACCTTATAGTAAAACTATGGCAAAGCTAAATACTGCAAGTATGAACAAAAAAATTAAGTTGAACTATCATTTAAAACATGGAATGTAACTTGGAAAAAAACATTAAACATTACAGTAGCTGAAGCTTGGTAAGAGTTCAGATGACAATGATTTACTTGTGTATTTTACTGTCTTACTACATCCCTGAGATATAATCTTAGAGATTATGTTCAGCTTCTCAGAAAAGAGATAGGAAGCTCATGGCAGTTACTGGTATTAATGCTGTAAAAACGCATTCTTCAAGAAAAATATTACAGTGCACTCAGATATTCCAACCCTGGTTTTGTGGCATGTCATTTCATTTCCCAGCATGGAGAGACAACCACAGCTGCTTATCTGTGTGGACACAAGAAACTGAGAGAAACTGCAAAAATATGAAGAACGGAGACTTGATTTATTAGCATTTCTATTGCTCTGCAGTTCATTGGAACATCCACATTTTATTGCAGCAGCTCACAGTTATTCAGTATTCTTTACTAAGCCTTGCTTCTACGTAAAACCTCCATTTCTCTTTCAGTAAGGGGAGAAGTTGCTGCTACAAGGCAGCTGTCAGTCAGAAATATTCAGATTTTCCCATTTTCTTTTCAAAACTTAAGATTTTAACATGTTCAAATTATATCTATTTGTTAGTTAAACATGGCTTAAACACAGAGCCCAGTTTTCAAAGCTTAGGAAAATATAATCGAGTCAAGTAAGTACAAACACAATGGGATGCAAAAGCAACTACAGAGTTGGTATCTTCTCATGCCAGAACTATATATGTTGGTGCATTCCATGGAATTCCACTGAGTTACTGTCTCAAACTTAGCTCTTCAATTCTTCTAAAACATTGAGACAAATACACAAAAACATATAAAACAATCTGGCATTGTTTCACAATAGAATAAATAGTGCTTCTGTTG